GGGCAGAACCATCAGTATTCACCCTAGAACCCTCACAGCGACCCCCCCAGCCCTCGGGGACATCCTGGCACTCCTCTTCAGCGGCAGCAGGGCTGTTATTGCAGCGCTCTGCGGTGTGCGCCGGCGGGGCACCGCGGGCTCGGCGCTGGGGCCTCTGTTTTTCCTGGCTGGGAATGTGCCTGGCCCCTCTGGCCTCGGCCGGCCCTGTGGGGGCCCCCCACCGGGGACCGGCTCCTCCCTGCGGGCGCTCGGCCCCACGCCAGGCAGGGGCTTCTCCGAGCCCATCTGCTGTGCAGCTGCAGCGAGCAGGAGAAGCAGGAGGCATGGCCCGAACTCATCTCGTGCCTCCCCCATGCTGGGGAACACCAGCCCTGCTGCCGCTGAAGAGGAGTGCCAGGATGTCCCCGAGGGCTGGGGGGGTCGCTGTGAGGGTTCTAGGGTGAATACTGATGGTTCTGCCCCCACGCTCAGCCACGGGCCCAGCACTGGCCCCTGCGGTGCACCCGTACTTCAGCTCGTACTGAAGGAATGGCAGCTTGGGCTCCCTGTCCCAGCTTGCACCCTGGGTGCTCTTCCCAGGAGCATCCCCAGGTTCCCCACCAGACACATGTGGGCTTGCCAAAAGCCTGGCCAGGCAGGGTGGGGGGGGCCTGGGGGACACTGAAGACACACTAACAGCACCACAGTACAGTGCAGGACAGGAACCCTAGCGATGCCAGCCCGGGGGGGTGCACTCACTGTGGGGCAGACCAAATCCCGGGATGGCCAATGGGGCACCTCTGTGGGGCTGTGACCTGACAGCATCACTGTGGGGCAGCAGCCCTGGAGCTGCTGGAGCACATCTGGCTGCCTCTTGCCGGCTGACACATCCCCCGCAGCCCCCCTGCCCAGCTCTTTTGGGAACTTGCGTCATTTGTGATCCTCCTCAGCTGAAGAACCAAAACAGCCGTTGGCCCTCATCCCCTCTGCCCTCCCCCACTCAGCCCCATGGGGCTGTGACCACTGTCCTGCCCCGCAGCTGCTCGAGGACTAACAAAATAAACCTGGCACAGGAAGAAACACGATGGCAGGCGTCCAGCCCCTGACCTCGCGTGCCAGCACACGCCCTCAGCCCAGCACAGCGTTCCCTGGAGGGCTGCTCCACGTGAGCCCTGGGGAATAATGTACGGGGGATCCCTGGCCCCTCTTTGGAGTCCCCACTTCCCCAGTGATACCCAGCCCCGATTTGGGGTACCCATCCCTGAGGCAGTTATCCTTCGTCCAAGAGTGTGACCCCATCCTGCGCTGAGCCTCGGAGGCAGGAAGCACTACCCATCAACATTTTTAAGGCTCATTTACACCCCAAAAACATTCCCCATGCTATTCTGGGTGTGTATGTGTGGGAAGCGAACTAGGCTCTGCCACAGCCCCACGCGGCTCCCGAGGGGCCCCTGCCGCCAGCGCCACCGAGCCGGGGGATGAACAGAGCCACCATTCTCCCTGGCGGGCTGCGGTCCCCTGCGCAGCGGCTGGCGGGGGCCCAGCCAGCCCTGGCGGTGGTGCCAGGTGGGCCATGCACCGTGCCAGCACCGGCCCCCGCCACTAAATATAGCCCCGGCGCCTGGCCACGGAGCAGCGGGAGCAGGAGGCACGCGGCAGGGAGCGGGCGGCCGCATGCGCGGAGCCCCCGCGTGCGCTCCCCTCGCCGGGTGGATGTGGACACGTGCAGGCACAAGACTGTGGCCAAGGGGTGTAAACACGTGTGCGTGTACAGTGCTCGCGGTGTTTTGCGTGTAGGGGAGCCTGGGGTGTGCAGTGCAGTGAGTTTTCCACTGCAGTGCACACACAGGCGGTGCAGGGGGGGTACAGGGCTATGTGTACATGGAGGGGGCAGCAGGCCCGCCCACCACTCAGCCTATTCTGCCCTGCGCTCTGCTCAGGGCTATGAACCCCCTGGGAGCTCAGTGAGGTCCCTCTAGGGTAAGGAGGAGTGAGTACATGTGCAGTTATCACTTTTAGATCAGTTAAATGCAATTAGCTGCTTTTGCAGAGCAGAGAAGCATCAGTGCCCAGTGTGGAGCTCTGGCAGGAACACAGTGGTGCTTGGGGGGCACACTGAGGCAGGGTGAGGGCATTCAGGGGTGCAGGCACTGTGTGGTGGCAGTGGGTCTGGGCAGGTAGCACTGAGCATGGTGTGCTACTGACAGTTCTGGGATGTTCCCCAGTTTGGGGACACCCTTGTGGCACACAGCCTGCTCCCCCCAGCCCAGTACCAGGATGGGCCTTTTCCCAGTGGCATGTGGGCACTCCCTCAAATTCCTTTTGCTTCAACCATGGGGCTCCAGAGCATCTCCGGCATGGGCAGGTTGGCATGTGGGGAGCCCAGACCCTATGCAAAAAACAGGGTAGCAACTCCCCACTGCTGCGACACCAGAGGCCAGCCCTGCCCAGGCCAGGCACCCCCACCCCTAAGAAACCCCCACACCTAAGAAAGCCACCTGGACATGGAGCCACTGAAGCCACCACCAAGGAGATGCTTTATTGGGGGGTAGTGGGCAGTGGGGGGTCAGCCAGGGGGCCAGCCCATCTGCCGCCCCCCCAGGACATGGAGGTGCAGGTGGTAGACGGACTGGGCACCGTGCTTCCCATCATTGATCACTGTCAGGAGAGGGACAGGGGTCAGGCCACCTCCTTGTGTGCCCAGGCCCCCAGGACCACCAGAGAGGGTCCTGCCCCATGGCACTGCAGGGAACACCAACTCACCGAGGCGGTAGCCGTCAGCCAGCCCCTCCGCCTGTGCTGTGTGTGCTGCCACCACCAGCAAGTGCCCCAGGAGCTGCAGGAGAGGAGAGCAGGAGGGTCAGCACTCAGTGACCACTACTGCCAATGTCCCAGGGACTCCCCTAGACTCACCTCGGTGTCTTGGGGACCCACACGGCTGATCCGGGGGATGGGGCGCTTGGGGATCACCAGGAAGTGGACAGGGGCTTGGGGGGCCACATCACGGAAGACCAGGCACTGCCAGGGGGCGCAGGGTGAGCCCCACACCCGTGGGTGCTGCCCCTTCCCCTGGTGGGGACACATGCCCTGCTACCTTGTCCCCACTACCTTGTCATCTTCATAGAGGATGGTGGCAGGGATGGTGCGGTCGATGATCTTGCTGAAGATGGTGGGCTTCCCGCCCGCCTCCTCGCCGGCCTCCGCTGCCCGCTGTGCCTTGCTCACCTCCCCATCCCTCCCGCTGGGCGTCGACACGCACCGCTGGGCCGGGAGGGCACACAGAGCTTAGGGCCTGTCCCCGAGCGGGGACGGGGACACCGCGGCCAGGGCGGGCAGGAGCACAGGGAGGGGACATGCATGCGAGAGTGATGGAAGGAGGGACGCACATGGGGTGATGGGGGACACGGCTGGGAGTGAAAGGAGAACACATGGGGATATATACATGCGCGGCTGCACGCCGGGATATAGGGGCGATGCATGTAGGGGTGGTGGGGCGCGTGATGGGGGAATGCACATGAGAGTGATTGGACTAATGCATGGGGGGTCATGGAGGGTGTGAGAGGGAGTGTGGTGGGGGTGCACGTGGGGACCGATGGGATACGTATAGGGGTCCTGAGGGCTGCACATGGGGTTGCTGCTCGGGTACGACCGGGGGATGCACAGGGGTTGACAGCGAGGTGCACACGGGGGTAACGCATATGGGGATAATGGGGGGCTGTGTCCACGGGAGTGACGGGGGTCTGTGCCCACAGAGCTGACGGGGGGGCTCTGTCCACGAGGGTGCAGGCCGGGGCGGGGGTGGGTGCGCACGGGTGACCGAGGCCCCATTCCGTGCCGTGGGGGTGCGCGGGTCGGCGCTCACGCTCGCCGCGGACCTTGCCCGAGGGCGGGAGCAGCGGCGAGCGTCGCGCTGGGCGGGGGCCCGGCCCGGTGCCCCTGTCCTCCCAGCCCACCCCGCTGTTTCTCCCACCCCGATGGATGTGTCCCTCCTCCCCCGCGCCCACCTGCCCCACTCGCAGCGCGCCCCGCACCAGGCCCCGCGCCAGCACCGCCGCCATGGCCGCCGCTCCCGCC